GCTGGGTCTTCGCAGGAGCCCGGCTGCAGAGGGGCCTGGGCCTCCCCGCGCGCCCCCTCACACAGCAGCAGGGCGCTCAGCAGCAGCAGCAGCACAGGGGGCTTCATCTCTCTCCGGCTCTCTGCACGGGGCCCAGTCTGAGCGGACTGAGGCCAGGCAGGCACCGGCCCCCTTTATACCCTGGGTTATCAGGGGGCTGCAGGAATGCGGGACTTTGCCCAGTCCTGATGAGCCTGTGCAAACACAGCCTTGAGGAGAGCGTGGGGGTGGTATTGACCAAACAGCTAACAGCATGACCACCTACTGGTCTTTGCCAGCAAGCCGACACCTCCACTGGTCAGGCAAGGGGACGTCAGAGGGCCCTCATCTGCATGATTTACGAGCGTCTACTGTACATAAAACAATCGGACTGTCGCGCAATGTGTGGCTGGATGTGTTGTCAACACGGGGTGAAGCGGTTTTATTAAGTAGGAGCATCAGCGGGACTATAATCCCGGCACTTCTGTGGGAGCAGGACAGGAGCGTTAAAATTGGGGTCTTCCCAATATTCCCATCCATTTTCTTACGGCTTTATCTAGTACAGGGGTCGCGGGGGGAGCCGGAGCCTCTCCCTGCGAGCAAAGGGCATGAGGCAGGGTACGCCCTGGGAGAGACACCAGTCCATCACAGGATACAGCAGACATGAACACGGACACACAGGCCAGTTCTCCCAGAAGCAACAGTAACCAGCTCTCTTAAGTGCCATAGGAATAGGGGAGCTGTTGGGATGGTATTTAACTGGAGGATTTTGCTCAGGTCTGGTCCTTTGTGCTTTGACAGACTCATGTACATACATGCTCCCCAACTTCACTGCGTCTTGGATCTTCCCCTCTTTTCACGGCTCTGGATGTAAAACCCACGACACTGTTGGATACGTAGATAGGGAAGCAGCACTCTTCGAAAGCAAGGCTTTCATTGCACGGTTGCGTAATTCTTATTACAGAATTCTTAAAACAGAATTTGTATTACTTCTGGTTACACCTTGAACTTTTGCACGCCTATAATTCGTTTAAACCTCTAGAAACTGTTTTGCCTGTACAGCTAAAACGGGGATGACAAAGAGCTTTACACAGGCAGCTGAATCTTGCAAACGCTTTATTTCTGGCAAAGCAGCAGCTCGTGCTGTTTCCCTGCATGCTAACGGTCATGGTTCGATCGACGGCGCAGAGAGACGCCGGGGCTTCTGGAAAGCTTGTTTGCTCACTCCAGCAAGCGGAGAGGAGATCACCCTGCGATATCGACAGGGTGGTAGAAGAGAGGATCCTCTTGAAAGAGCTCCTGTAACAGAGCGTCTCCGTGCCTGGGCTCTCCAGGACACTCCGTGGCACGGACCCCAGGGAAGGGGCTGGGGACCGGCAATCTCTCCCGGGGTGGCTGCTGCTGCTGCCCACTCTCGGAGACGCCTGGGAGTTTGTCGGAAGCGATAGTCCCGTCAGGAGAAGGAGGGAAGGCCATCGGCCGGTCCAAGGCTGGGAGGTACTGGACAGTACCCAGCAGCCCCTTGGAAGGGGCGGGGCTGGCTGCTGCTGCCGCGTCGCCGTGGAGATGGAGGTGCTGGTGTTGGTGCTGGTGCCCCAGCCCATGGTCAAGACTGTGGCTGCCTTCCCCACCCAGCAGGTGGTGTCCTTTCTCAGTCTCCGAGCCCTTCAGGCAAATAAGGCAATTTAGTTTGCATATCATGTGACCTCTGCATTTGCTAGAAGCAAGTAAGTATCCAGTCATGAGTGCCGCCCAAAGCGTATATTTGACTCCCTGTACTGTGGGCTAGATGATGTCCTGGCGGACAGTCAGAACTGGTATATAATGCCAGGACCTCTGGTAGAGACATGCATTTTGACATACTGAGGTTTCACTAAAACCCTGGTCATCTAAGTCCTGGATTAAATCACA